AGCAGTACTGGCTGGTTGGTCAATAAATTCAAAATATTTCCTTATCAAGAAACATCTAATATTACCATTATCAACCCATTATCACTCTTTACCACTAATCCAATGATGCATCCCTCAAAGTAGATGTATTTTAGGAAAACACTGATGTAGTTAAAATAAAAATACATTTAATACCAGTAAACTCAAATTTGTTTAAAATCTGTGCAATAACAATATTATTTTAACTCTATATTGCAACTCTAAATTATAACTACCTCAATTGACAGTATTGCTAAGTTATTGACTCATTGTAGATCTATGATGTTTTCATTAAGCTTTATATTTACTGTGACGGGGGAGATATTTTTTATTTATTATTTCAAGTTTTCTTTTTTCATTTTACTTTCAGAAATTTTGCCCTGATGAAGAAGGTGAGTTTTACACAGAATACCATGGACTAGACATGTGAGTAACAAGGAAGTTCTTGAAACAATGGCAACAAAAAGGATATGTATACTTATAATCAGGAAGAGACAGTTGAAATTCCCGAGGCTCATAATGAGGAAAAAGAGCTTGGAAAATTTGATACTCACAGGAGAGATTAAAGGTAATAGGGCCAGAAGAAAGCAATACACAACCTAAATGGTGAGATTGAGTGAATTGCAGAGCAGGGATGGAAAAAGATGGCAAAAAGACAAAAGATATTAAGATCAGGAAATTGCAGAGAGTTATGATCACTAAAGTCCTGAAGTGACACAGCACATAGAAGAAGGAGATTGCTCATATAAATATAAACATTTACTAATTGAAACATTTACTAACATTTGTTGGTTGATACCAATTTTGTTGTGAAAACATTGACTTGCATTATAAAATCTGACATAGTATACATTTTATTCTATTTTTGCACAATTTGTAAGGCCCAATATACAGATTGTGCTGAAACGTGATAAAAATAAAATATTTGGTAAAAATCATGCAAAAGTGGGATTTAAAATTCAAGTCCTTCAGTGAATAATCCAAAAATATATATATATATATATATATATATATATGTGTATGTTTGCATACATGTCTATGATAAATTTATTTATAAATTAATAATAGGAGATTGTTAACTTGTATATGTACATTCATGGAGTGAAAAACTTATGATGCAATTTGAAAGAAATTCTTTCAACTGGCTCCTATTTTTAACTAATTCTGTACCAAAAGTTTCCAACACACAATACTAAGAATCATACAAAGTCTAGGAGGAATCTGCTACATGGACAATCTCCAAATACATAATTCTACACAAAAAATGTCTATAACAACCATGTTGTAAAAGTGCTAAGATGACTTTAAAATGTAAGTGATACAATGAACAACAAGCATGAATTCTCAAAGCACAAACTCAAATTTCTCAGACCTTATAATTTCTGAGGAGACAGACCCTGGAAAAATGAGGTGACACACAAGTTCTCATGAGCAACAAAAGTCACAGAATGCAACATTTTAATATCATGGTGAATCAACTGACAAAATTCATCCTAGATTTAGCCATTATGAATAATCCCCACCACCCATGCCAACTCATAAGGATCCCCAGTGGATATGGAATCAACCACAAGAAAAAGCCACCCAAATGATTAAGGACCAACTCATCTCTACACATGTCATCACATTATGATCCTCATAAAAAGAGTGTTGTAGCAGAAGATGCCTACTATGGATTAGGTGTGGTTCTGCTATAAATAGACCATTTGGGGAACCATTGTCCCATTGCATATGTCTTCTGCTCAATGAATGACATAGTGAGGCATTATGCAGTCATCAAAAAAGAAGCTCTGGCAGACACATGGGCTTGCAATAAATTTGCTGATTAGATTCTAGGGGCAATATTTACATTAGAGACAGGCCATTACCTATTAGTAGCTTTGTTATCAAGTAAAGACCTGACCAAACTCCCAATAAATGTTCTTAGATTCACCACAGAATGGCTAGATATTCTGCTGAAATTACATATGTTCATAGAGTACATAAAAATATGGCAAATGCCCTATCAGTGAACCGACACAAAGATGACCTCAAGTTCATCAAAGAAGTTGAAGAACAGATTTTGTCATAGCTAGCCAGAGAGCAATAACTGAAAGAAATTAGAACAACATGAGACAATAATGCTGTATGTAGTCAGATTAAAAGTAAATTGTTTAAATGGACAGCCTTCAGTCATGCATCTCCTCAAGCCATACTGGGAGAAGAAGCAACACTACTGTTACCCAAGAAATAATTATGTACAATCACAGGATTGTAATAAACCCATCTCTAAACTAGAAAAGCTTGATGCCATACATGAAGGCATACACGAATACATGAATAACTAAGTGTCTAGGACATGAAGGCTATTCACTATGGTGGCCACTTATAATTAAGCAAATATGATTAACAGGGGTCACACCTGTGTCAGACTAAAACCAATGCCAATGAACATTTTAATAGCCCTGTCATTCCTACAGGTGGACTTTGACCCGGGTTGGCACAGACCATTTTGAAATGGAAATGGAAAACATACCTTATTGTGGTAGACAACACAAGTCATTGCTTTAAGATACAGGAACTTCAGACAACCATGTCTGGAACAGGCATACATACATTGTCAGAGATCTTAGCAATCCACATGATCCCAGACACCATCATTGCAGGCAGTTTAAAGAATTTTCTAAGAACTGGAGTTTTGCACACATTAACTTCTCACCTTTACAATCACAAACTAATGTGGTAGTAGAGACAGCTGTCCAGACAGGTAAGAACATCCTAAAAAAAGAATACAAATGTCTACCTCAGATTATTCACATATGGGTCAGCTCCATTGAGAAATGAAGTGACACTAAGTGAAATCTTGATGGAGAGGAGGACATGAACAAAACTGCCAACAATCACAGTAAGTCTCTAAGCAAAACACCTCAAGAAGAGCTAATTAAGAAAGAGGAAAAGTACCAAAAGAAATATATAAAACATTGTAAGCCTCACTACATGGTACAGATCCAAGTAGGAAATAGTGAACATATGAGACCAAGAGAGATTTATTGAAGTGGCTGAGAAAAGGTTATATAGGGTTATGAGAGAAACAGGATCTATGAGAAGAAGGAACTGCTTCCTTATTCATATAGGGACAAGAAAAACAAGAATAATTTGGACACTTCGATATCAAGACACTGTACCAATGATGACAATCCATTCAAGAAATTGAATACTATATCAAACACCTCTGCCTCACCTCCCACTCATACTAAAACAGCAGGTTGCACTGGTTGACTATTGAAATGCAACAAACATCCAGAAATGGTTTATTATTAACATTTCTTGATGAACATTGTAAATAAATGTTGTAAGTTTCAAAAAATAGTGTTAGAGAAACTTAAGGCAGATATATAATTTTAATAATACAAGATCTTAGTTGTATCACATGACAAAATGTGAATCTCTTGTCATGGTACGAGATGCACAAATAAAGAATAGTTGTTGACAATGGCACATTTTACAAGTTCTCATTTCAACAGTCTCCTGGGGTATATTTACTTTTATTCTTCCATCTATGTCAAGGGATATCTCATCTTGTTCTCTTTTCAATACAGCCCAATTATTGCTTACCCAGAGTCTGTAATAATAATTGGCCCTGTCATTGAACAAATGCTTTAATCCATCATACTAGTCAACAGCTGAGTAGATTGAAGAAGAATACCAACTGAAATTTTGTGATAACTACAACAAAGATGAGGATATTAGTCCTGTTGTAAATAGTGATCACTCCTTATCCCACTTATACAGATAGAATGTTGTCCTTTACATATTCTTGAAAAGGATTTTAACACAAAAGAAAAATCTTGCTGAAAAGCTTGTTCCACTTTTTTCTGGGTTCATTTGTGAAAACATATAAGCTAAACACAGCTGCTTTTACTTTGTCCAAATAAAAGAAAATTTCTGTCTGATTTGTGCTTGGCAACTCCATTCAAAGTTGAACTGTTATCATTGGGGTCTGAAATTGTCGTTCAAGTGTTTCATTGTTCTGTATTTATTATATTGATTTTTTTAAATGTTTCTTTCATTACTTCCTTAATTTTTGTTATTTCTCTGGAAGTGGCAATAACTTCCCTTCCTATCTGACACTTCTAGAAAACAAATTGCTATCCTAATAGCAAAAAAGGTGAGACAAGGATAAAAACCTTGAGACCTGAGAATCACAAGAATTGAGACCCTGAGACCACGGCTAAATTCCCATCAGCCAAATCACACGGTTATCACACTTTGAAAACGAAAGTTCTTAATTACTTTGGCATCGGTTTGTTGACGATTTTCCTTGGTTGAGAACAAGGTGAGGCTGTCAGCAAGCAAAGGAAAAAAAGAGTAATTGACAATGTCTATATTTAGGTTTCAGATTTCTCCCAACAGTTACCGATTTACCTATCTGTCACCTCTAATTTCCCGACTTTCCTTCTTTTCTTTTTAAAGCAACACACCCTTTCCTCTATTTTTGCCACAGGCTATCTCTGTAATTCTTTGGTTTTGAAACGCTTATGCTGTATGAAACTAAACTTGTCCAATATCGAAAAAACTGTCACTGAACTTCTCACCAAATAATTTCCTTCTTTGTTAGACATTTTTTGAGATATTTTTTGCTGTCTTACTTTGTAATTGTTTCGCTATCTTTTCCTTGTCCGATTTTTCCAGATATATTATTCATTCATTATGTTTCTTTGTTAATTTTTGAAACTTTTTCTTTACTCTTTCCTTTCCTGTTTCATCACTTCTTTCTTCATATTTTTCATTTCTTCTCTTGTTAAGAATTCTTTTTTCTTTGTCTATTTTTATCTTTCTTTTTCTTTCTCATAAACATATCCTTATCTAGATCCCGTCTTTTTTAACTTTTAGTATTATTTCTTTCTTTGTCACATTTTTACTTTTACTTACTTTACTGCCTTTAAGAATTAATTTTCTTTTTTCTTTTTTTTTTCCTTCTTGTCCTGACTTTTTACACATTTATGTATTATTTTTTTATTACTTATGTTGGGTTTTCCTCTTTCTTTTACTTTCACATCAACAAATCCTTGTTTGTATCCTTTCTTTCTTTACTTGTTTTAATACTTTTTTTATTTCTTTTCCTTATACACATCTGCATTCTTTCTTCCTTTTCCCTATACACCTCTGCAGTCTTCCTTCCTTTTTCCTATACACCTCTGTGATCTTTCTTTTTCCTATATAGTTCTGTGTTCTTCCTTTTCCCCTATCCACTTCTGTGTTCTTCCTTTTCCCCTATCCACTTCTGTGTTCTTCCTTTTCCCCTATACACTTCTGTGGTCTTTCTTTTCCCCTATACACTTCTGTGGTCTTTCTTTTCCCCTATACACTTCTGTGTTCTTCCTTTTCCCCTATACACTTCTGTGGTCTTTCTTTTCCCCTATACACTTCTGTGGTCTTTTCTTTTTCCCTATACACTTCTGTGGTCTTTCTTTTCCCTATACACTTCTGTGGTCTTTCTTTTCCCCTATACACTTCTGTGTTCTTCCTTTTCCCCTATACACTTCTGTGGTCTTTCTTTTCCCCTATACACTTCTGTGGTCTTTCTTTTCCCCTATACACTTCTGTGGTCTTTCTTTTCCCCTATACACTTCTGTGGTCTTTCTTTTCTCTTATATCTCTGCATTCTTTCTTTTCACTATATACTTTTACGTTCCTTTTTTTCTTTCTTTTCCCTATACACCTCTGAGTTCTTCCTTTTCACTATACACCTGCATTCTTTCTTTTCTCTATACACTTTTACATTCCTTCTTTCTTTTCCCTATATATTTCTTTTCATATGCACCTCTGTGTTCTTCCTTTCTATCCTTTTTTTCTCTATGCACCCTTGCTTTATTTCTTTCTTATTTTTCCTTCCTTCCTTCCTTTCTTTCCCTATGCACCCCTGCCCATCATATCCCCTCCAAATAAGCCATGACCTAAGTTCGAAGATGTATTTACTCATGACAACCAACTGGGAGGAAAATCCTGAGAAATGCTTCACTGTGTCCTTGCTAATTGAGATCAACAGGTTAGGGGCAAAACTGAAATAACTGTAACCTCATCCCAACACACAAAACCCCACTATTTCGTCCATCATATCCTGGTAGGAAGGAATTAAGAAGTCGGCTGAAGAGGTGCGGAACTCAAGAATAATTATAGAAAATGGAAGATTTCACATTGCATTCTCACTCTTTACCTATCAGATAGATATAGATATCAATCTTATTTTACAAACCTTTACTATTATGGTGTGCTTAATCATCAGTGAGTGCCCAACTATTATATTATACATACTGTCAAATTATATATCATTACCATTGAGATGTGAATAAACATTGTATTCTTCTTTTATATGCCATGTTCAATGGCTGATCATAGCATCACAACATCTTAACATTTTTAGCTCTAAGCAATATTTGTCCCTTCCATTCTTTGTTATGCAATGTTTCTCTCTTGCCATCAGTATGTCCTCTGAGTGTCAAATTCACCAAGCCCTTTCCTCATTATATATTCTGGAAATTTTTACTTTTTCTGATCTTAAGCAAAAGTCTTCTTTTCCTTGTCATTTTTCTTAGAACTTTTTCATTGTTCATTCTCATCTTTCTGTAGAATCAAATGTGTGTCACCTCATGTGTTCTCATTTATCTGTGAGCAAATTTCCAGCATTCCTTTCTGTTTTAAAGGATTGATATTACATAGCAGTTTGGCACTCTTTCTTTCTTTTATATTTCTTAATGCCTTGTTTAGCTTTTGGAAGGCATCTTGCAATATTTCAATGCACCTTTGGGTTTCTGTCTCACATTTTCTACCTTCTTCTATAACACATTCCAAATGGTTAAATTTCTTTACTTGCTTGATTTTGTCATCTCTATTTCTTTATATTCTTGTGTATAGATGTTTCTTAGATTGCAATCTTCTTTGTTTAAGATTCTCATGGGAGGCAGTCAGATACCTTTGTTTATTAAGTAATCATCTTGCTTCAACTTGGTCCTGAAATATGCTTTGTCATTGCTGTCTTTGTCATTCTGTTTCTAGCCTTTTACTTTTGAGAGATATTTCCATTTCACTATTATCTTCCTTTTTCCACTGTTATATATTCTAAAATTGAATTCATAAGCTTCAACCAACAAGGCTCAATACAAATCACATGAATCAATAAAATCTATTAAATACTTTACGTAACTTGGATTGAAAAGAATGTGAAAATCCACATAGCTAAAGCTTGGGCTGCCTTGAATAAAATGGATGTAATGTGGAAATCTGATCTACCAGACAACATCAAGTGGAGATTCTTTTGAGCCACTGTTGAGTCAGTTTTAATGTATGATGTCACTGCCTAGACATGAGTCTAAGCTTGATGTGACCTACACTATACTTAACATCTCTTGAAGACAACATCCAACTAAATCACAGCTCTATGGACCCATTCCTGATATTTCTACAATCTTACATGAACACAGAATGCACTTTGCAGGACACTGCTGGTGAGCAAAACAAGAACTTTTGTGTGATCTACTGATTTGGACACCTACCATGGAACAAGAAAGGTTGGTTTCCCAGCAACCACGTATATTGACCAGCTATGTTATGATACAGAATGCCAACCTAATGGTCTTCTGACCTTGATGCAGGACCATGTTGTTGGCATGATAGACTCATGAATGTATGAGTTAACTCAACCAAATTAAATAATAAAAATAATAGATTTAGTTCTTATTAAAAATATTGTACTTGCTATGGAAACCATCACAGTATCACCTAGTGTGGTGAGGCTATGTCTCCATATTCTATACAAAAGAATTTAATGATACAAAGAAGAAGAAATAAACTTCATCTAACTGAAAATCTAAATGGTTGAATTCATGTCATTTTTGCAGGTTTCTTAGAAAATAATGACAGTTGAATATCTCAAAAAAACAAAATTTATTTCAGTTTGTCACCTGGTTGCATCTATGGTGTTATTAGAGGAATCAATGTTTTTCATTTACATATGAATACACAGTGATATAAGATTCTTGAGGAAGACTGAAAATGTTGGAAGAAACTAGAATAAGTATTCTCAAAATAAGATGTACCAAGAAAAGATGAACAATATGAGGAAGAAATTTTATTTGAAGTTCCTGCTGGAGATCTCAGAAATAGAAGAGTCATCATTTCCTCATTTTCTTTGTGGAAAAATACAACCAGTTCTTATTTGTCAATGTGGTTAATGATGATTATCAATGCATAAAACTTGTTTTTCTTCCATTTCTTTATCATCTGGGTCTCCTAAAAAACAGTTTTCTGTCACTTTCTCCAAAAGCCAAAAACATTCTGAAGTTCCTGACAATTTTTTAATGCCATTTTCCTTCAAGAAATCAGGAGACTTAAGATATTGTGCATTTAAGTTAAATCTTAATATATCTATCATTACTAAAAAATTATCACAAAAGTAATGGTACCTATATATATTCTTACCAAGTTACAATTTTAATGAAAGCTATTTAATATTTCTAATTCCACAATGTGCATATTCTTTAAAAATAAAACCTTGCGGGTAACAGTTTAGTGATCTAGCTACTGAACTATCATCTTGTTTAAAGCATTCTTTCATTTTGCATTCATGTGTTTGAACACAAAGAATCAGAGACAATGTTCATATTCATGATAGGGTTTATGTCCGTGACCAAATGCAGATTCTATGAGTTGATCCGTTTGAAAGAATCGATTCAGAGATTGGATTCATATCACTGCTTCCATTGAAGATAAACAGTCCGTTTGCATTTGCCTGGCTGGGTTTTATGGGAAAGCATCCCAAAATGCTTGATACGAAGAAGCTGAAAGGAAAGAAATAATTAGAGAGAATAAGACATTGAGCACAACTGTGTATATTACAAAAACATTATTATTTTTATATAGTGACTACTATGAGTATCATTAGGATTTAATATATATCCCTGTCATCCTCATCAGTATTGTGTTCATTGTATACATTAGTTATTACCATCACAATAATAACCACACTGTCTTAACTTATCATCAATCATCCATTATTGTACTACACTAATATCACTACAATTAATAGACTGTTCTAGAGGTTGTTTCACCCAATACTGCAAGCTGCTACAAAACCAAAATATTTACCTAAAAACTTGCGTCATGTTCTTAAATAGCCTTGTCAGATCAAGACTTTCATATGTGTGTCATGCCTGGCACCAAACAAAATATCTAAATTGTCTGCTGTATAAAACTGCTTTCTATGGTCAATGGTTAAAATGTCTTTCATTAACTAAAGAGCACACTTCTTTGAACTGTGTTGACTGGGACTATAGAATCACAAAGATCTGTACCAAATCAGAACAGAAACAGAAACCACATCATTTGAGGACTAACAACTAGTAACTTGAACATAAAATGATGACGTAATCAAGATGTTGACATTCAACACCACTTCAAATAAAAGGAAACCCTCATCAATACTGGAAAGTGATAACACTTGAGATTTGTTTTCCTGAAAATTATTTTAAGAGAAACGTTTTATAAATTTCAACTGCAGTATTACTAGTTGCTCAATGAATGCCAAATGAAATGGCTAATATTACCATTACCATTGGTTAGTATATTACCATTGGTTAGTATGCATCAGTTTTATTTTTCTGTTGTATCATAAACCTGGGCTTATGACCAAAACTGATTTCATCCAACAATCACCCTGAAGAAAAGACTTATCTTTCTACCAAGATAAACATTTTTATATAAATATCAACTAACATTAAAAACAATAATGGCAGCTATTTCTTTTACAGTATCTTTTTCAATAAACCTTAAAATACTAAAATATTTACAGATTTTTAAACATAAAACCAGGTATTCACAATGTTGAAAAACACCAACATCTTGAGTATACTTCAGTATGTCCGAGAGTGCTAGAAGATGACCACTGCTGTAGAATAAAAGCTGGAGATGTTCCAGACTAAGTGACGCAGAAAGATATTCTGTATAAACTGAAAACAATTTCCACTGAATGGATAAAGATGCAGAAACACCTTAGAGGGCATTGCGGTTATTTTCCAGAGACACTGGTGAAGATATCTTGGACATGTTTGCAAAATGGCTTCAAGCGCACTACCCATGATAGTCCTCCACTGGATACCACAGTAAATAAGTGATCTGATCCTAGAAGACTTGATTTATAATGGTGGAGTGAGAGACTAACACTGCAAATGGTTCACAACACAGCAGCTAATGGAGAGAGGTGGCTTGTTCTTGCCATTGACTCAAGAGTCACTTAGCACAGAGAGGATTGAGTAAAAGTGTAGACATTAAAATTATAAAAAAAATGCTTCATATACTACATTTCATGAAAAGCTTATTGTTCTTTCAGAAACTGAAATTTCCAATTCTTCTAGGCTTGATTTTATAACAGATCTTTCTTCTAATGTACTATACGCAATAAGGTTTTAAAATCAGACTTCACATTATTACTGCCCTTGGATCTGTAATCTTAATCACATGGATGTGAATTGTGACCTATAAATCATTATATAAATGCAAGAAATGTTTGTTGGTGGTTTTTTAAAATTAAATACAAATATTGATTGTAGTTACATTATGGACAACAATCATTAAAGATGTCACCTTCACAACTTCTGCTGCACAATTGAATCTTTTTCTTCTACTATGTGCTATGTTCATTTAGGATATTGACTATCATAGCTCTCCACAACTTTATCCTTTGTTGGTCTAAGCAACATTTTTCCCCTTACCATCATTACCAGTCCATGTTCTGCCAGCCATTTACACAAGTTCATTTGGTATGTTACTCATTGTTTCCCTTTTCCCATCTTATCTCCAATATTTCTTGTGAGTGTCAAATTCTCCAACCCTACATTCCCCCAAAATTTCTACTTTCTCTTTCTGCTCCTAAGCACAAGTATCTTTTTTTATCC